GCTGTGCCGGAGAGGCCAAAGGAAGAAACCCACCCACATTCTTCCTCCTGCGCTCCGTCTTAGACACGCTCACGCTCGCAGCACAATGGGCGGGTGGGAAGCAATCTCCAGGAACGTGGAGAGCGGGGGAAGGCTTCATTGTGGCCCACCTGACAGTGCAAAGCCAGCCGCTTGATGAAACGGCGACGCCACTGAGCTCTGAAGGCCGTTTAGATATTTTCGTTGATGGCCTRCGCTCCCTGTCCCATCGTGTTTCTGAGCTTTTCTCCACCATTGTGGGGATCAGGCAGAGGACATGAATGCCATTAGGCGTCGCAGGCAGCGAGGCGGGCGGACACAGACTGATAAGCGTATGTTCGTTTTTATAAGCCACGGCCGGCTCAAATGAGCCACAGAGGAAAATTAGATTTTTTTTCTTTCTGCCCTCTCGCTTCTTATTCCATCACAGTAACTCTGTTTCACTGGTTTTCACAGGGTTAGCTGTGGAGTTTACCCTGCTTCCACCTGTACAAACCCCTCCCATCCACCACCGCCTAGCCATTTTTAGTTGCCCCCTTGCATCTTCCTCCACTCTCACTCCTCCAAATTTTCCTCTTTTGTCCCTCAACTGTCTCCTATTAACCTTGTTTACAGCTCACACCTCCTCCTCCTCCTCCCTCTCTGCACATTCTCCTTTCGCTCCCTCTTACATTCTCTATTCCTGGCACCACATTCTGTTTCGCACCTTCATCCCCACTTTCCTTGCACTTCATCCCACCCACCACCACCACCACCCTTCTCCTCTTCCTCCTCCTCAGCTCTCATCCTCCATCACTTGAGCATTCCCAGGCTGTCTCTCGTCTCATCATTTCATCCCGCCGTCCTTCCAGCACGCTACCCCTCTGATTCATTTTCCTCTTCACAGACGAATGGTGGGAAATATGGAAATGTCAGCGTGACCAGGCAGGAGATCAGAAAGGACTATGTTAATATGGCAGGGCTGTCACGGCACCATTAGCATAATGTGTATGTGCATGTGTATGTGTGTGCGTGCACATCATGTGGGTGTTAAAGACATAATGATAGGTGACAGTACTTAGGTTGCTGACATCTGACTACCTGAGGAAGTTTAGGAGTGTAGTTTTTGTGTGTATTTATCATGTGTGTCTGTTTTGGTGTGTTTTTTTTTTTTTACGTCAACTGCAGGCGGCTGAACGTTTCCAAAGTAGAGCAGTGGTAACACAGTTCCTGTTCTCACTCTCCTCCCCTCCAATCAGTTTTCTTTGTCTTTCTTTGGCTCTCCCTTTTCGCTGCTGCTCTTTTCACTCTTACCCTTGAACCGTCTTTTATTCATCAACTCCCTTCTTTTCTGTCATCTTTCTGTTTAATAAGGCCAAGTCTCTCTAAATATTTATACTGACAATTACTCTTTCAAACGTGGCCTTGCCTCAGCACTTCCAACTCTGCATATTTGTGCATGCACAGACCTTTTTTGTTTTCCTTCCCCACCTCTCTGTCTGCTGTTTTAATGACACTTTGAGACTTCAGGATTGGGGTTTTGGGGTTACTGTGAAGGATGCGGCTGTGCTTGTCTTGAGTATAATAATCATTTCCCCGGGGGCTGTAAAAAGTCTAAGGCCAGCCTGTCTTCCGTCTGAGCTCTGACAGGAGCTGCTCTGTGTTGGCTTGGCTTTTATTGCATCTGAATGACGGACAACAAACCTGCCCCCGCATTCCCAGATGCATGTGGATGTGTGTGCATGTCAAATTTCATACTTGTATGTGGACATAAGAGAAACATGTTTCCTAAGAGAAACTGACATTGGAGATGTCAAACAGACTTTATTCACAATCGTGCTGTAATGAAGAATTTTAGTGACTTTTCATCCTTTTTTTATTTTCTTGTATGCCAATTTATAACCAAAGCTCAGCTCCTATCATAAAAGATCATAACAAATCTTTATATAGTCTGAGCCTTGAGCCTGCTTCTATTGATAACTAKTTGACAAAACATCACTTATTAAATGACTAGACCAGGGTTGTGCAACCTGTGGCTCTGGGGCCACATTGGGTCCCTCTGCAGCGGCTCTTTGAAGCTTTGACCAAAGCTAACATGAGAATATATATACTGTATATATGTATTTTTATGTTTCACCACAGAAAAGACTAGCTTAAGAATTTTTATTTGTCAATTTGTTTGCAAATATGTGATCAGTGTAAAAGTTCAGTCTTACACTTCTTATAGTCATAAGAGTAATTTATTTATCAAGGGATCTCTTTTATTTTGGGTAAACATTCCTCCAGTGCAAAAATGAATGGATGCAAGAAGTGGCTCTCAGTCAGTGAATGTTGATTTGATCCATAAATATGCAATCATTTATTTTACAAATCATACAGAATCACCAGAGTACACTTGATTGTGAACAATTAATTTCCTATAAAAGTTTGGGACCAACAATAACAAGCTTTTAACTTCTTAATTGTTAACCACCCTTAAATAGAAACACAAACCTCAGCTTAGATGTTAAATACCAGACATTTGAGGCAATTATCTTAGGGTTGGCAAGGAAGAGTTTAAGAAAAAGGAGGAACAAAGGTGTTAGCTTTCCTATACTTTTATCTTAAATAATGTGGGTTTTAACCAGAAGGGTGAAGCGTTTTGTGCTCGGCTTTGGTCAGACCTCGACGTCACACACAGCCAGCTTTTACCTTGAGATGATGTTCTGTCACCTGCCAGGTATGTCGGGGCTTCTGCTGAGAGAATCCGCTCAGGACTGTCCAGTAGAGTGACCCTCAGGCGTGTTTTCTAGACTAGCTTGGCGTCCACGTCAAGCCGTAGAAAAAGGCAAAGCCTCTACTGGAACCCAGGGTTCAAAATAAAACTTCCTTCTGGAGAGTTTCCTGAAGTTGGATCGACCAGGCGTTGGTCATCCAGGCTGTAAGGTTTTCCCCATTGGCGTGAAGGAGCCAAAAACCTGTCAGCTCAACTTTTGACTCTTGAGAGTCTAGCTGTCAGAGTGACTGACGGCTGTCCGTCACTTACTGCCATCCGGGCGGAAACTGTTAGTTACTAAGAAGCTTAGAGAATCATAAATATTATTTTAGTTAAATAAGATTTTTTCTACAGAAAAACCATACATAATTGAAATCATACTGAGGAAGAAAAGAGATCTGAACTCTTTTCTCCTGTAACTTTGCTAAACATTCTCTGATTATCAAAATGCGTAATACTTTCCGTTAAGAGAACACTAAATCAAATAAGATGAAGATTCTTCTGTTTATTATCTGATTTAGAAGAAAGAGAATGTCTCTTTGAAAGGTTAAGGTGACCTGAGGTGGCCTAAATTCAGTTCTAAGTGGAACTGAGTTTCTGTCCTTTAAAAGGCCTATCAGAGGAATGAGGTCCAAGACAGTTTCCTTGATAATTTCACTCGAGGTGACCCCTACATCAGTAATATAAAAAGTGACACATGCTGATTAGCTCATACTAGTAGCCTGTTAGCCACTTCACTACAATAATCTAGTTTTGTAGTTTTTATTCAATTTTAAATAAACTATATACAGTATTTTTCTTTTTTTTTTACATGAATAATGGTTTTTCTTAATCCCTGAGGTATGACCATAATAATAAATGTTAAAATTAGCTAAATATTTTTAGTTTTATGTCACCTGCCACTGCTCGGAAAGGCCCCCGTGCAACAAACTGATAGTGGCCCACAGACCACCAGTTGATAATCACAGTTGTAGCACGGTGTGTGGCTTGGGACACATTTTATTAGTGAACCAAGGAGCAAAAAGGGCTTTTTTGATTGTAAATGTTTCAGACTAGACTGTCTTTTTCAGCTGCATGTTGACTTGTGGAAACATTTGGCAAGTGTGTCTGTCCAAAGAGGGGGAGAAAAAAAAGTTCTGCTTTTCACCCCAAAAAGGCTCCGTGCTGCTCCCACGGGCTGATTAGTGGTCGTCCAGAGGTTTTTCTGTGGCTGCAAGGGGGATGTTTTGTGGTTGTAAATTGGGTTGGTCCTGTGAGAGCTGATGTTATTCTAGGAAAGTCTTGTTTTCTCCCACTTTGGCACTCAAGTCTTTCCTTCATTCTTCCCWCATCTCCTCGTCTACATTGATATTTCAGATCTCCCCAGAGAAGGTGTGGTGTTCATTGCTTGTCAAATAAGAGAGACGGCTCTGCCCTTTCCTCTTAGACCTAGGTTCTGTGTGTGTGTGTGTGTGTGTGTGTGTGTGTGTGTGTGTGTGTGTGTGTGTGTAGTTCTCCGGTTCATGTGGGTTTCAGCACAACAGCTTTCTTTCAACACAAACCAGTAGAACTAGTTTTGCAGGTAATGGTTTCTGTTTAGGGGAACTTGTTTCACATAAGGTTTTRTATGTATGTAGCTCATAGACTAACACATTTTGAGCCTGAGTAGCGCAGTTTTTACCTGCAAGACATTTTAAACGTATATAAATGAAGGTAATCTATCGCTTATAACTGGTGCCATCCTGCTGACGCACTAATATACGCTTATTCGTTCATACAAGTAATTACATTTTCACAGAGACCTGGATTACGAACACACTCGGGAACAGATTGTCGTTCTGAAAGTCCCCATTTACTCTGTATTTCTCACACACTAAAAAGCGTATTTATTTTGACTGCTGTTACAGAGGAATGTGTCAGCACAGCAAATGGCAGGCTATAGAGAGGCTTAGCCCATCCTAATGATTTATAACCTATGTTGGGAAGAAGACTGGTTTTTGTCTATTTTCTGCCTTATTTTTTTTCCCAGCCACTCCGTCCCCCACATACGGTCATTTAGAGACACCAGACTCTTGGCCTACTTGCCTGGGTTCACTAATATTGTCCTTTGTTGTACCAGACACCTCCAACACTGTCCTCATTTATCATCAGGTTTATTACCAACGTGGTTCTTTTTGCTCCCTTTCTCTGCTTTCTTCCCATGTGAATGAAATGACTGTGGTTAATGTTTTTCTTTGCCTCCTTTTTTTGTGTTTTGTGTTCCCTGCAGGAGCCTCGGGTCAAAGGGTGAAGGTAGAACCAGAGGTGTTGTCGTATCCAGGCCAGACGGTCAACCTGCGTTGTTCCTTTTCAGATCCCACTGGAGTCCAGCTCACAATGGTCAGAAACACATTTCCAAGAAACATTTGCTTCTTTATTTATTTATCTTCCTACTAACCCTCAAATAATTCTAAACTGCACTTGTTTGTGGAATGAAGTTCTCATAAAATTGTATTTCATCTGAATGTTTCAGCTCAAAAAGCTGACTTGACTCGAGATGTTTTGCTTGTCTGCTTCTCTGTAAAAGAAATGATCAGGTTGTGATTTAATTTTAAAAGTGCAAAAGTTCAATCAGACACGTAGATGAAAGAAATTTAATAGCAAACAAAGGAATCTTATTACAGGTAAATATGCCCCCACCTTATTTTTATTTTTTTATTTTTTTTTACTAATTAAATTTTCATTTAACAAATAGTTGTCCATGTAAATCACCCTAAGGCAGGTTTTTTTTTCCAAATTAAATTTAGGCTCGATGTTTTATTACTTTAAACAAACAATACTTAGATTCATTTTTGCTTCAGGGGTTGGAAAATGTTAATATGTGGCAACACTTAGCTGCATTTCAATGAAGTGAAAGTGACTAACTTTGTTGGTTTTACTGTGAACAGCTGAAAAAGTGAAACTCCTCGAAATGCCCACATCCATATTCATACCTACTGCGCTTACTTGATTGTGATGCTGCGCGTGTCGCCTGTGGAGTTTACTTTAAAACTCCCATGTCTTAAAATGCTCCCCAGTGTCTCTTATCAACGACATGATGAATGAGGCCGATTGTCTCTCTCGGCCACTTCGTGCCTTGTGACTGCTGACCCTGTGTGTGCTCCACCGCAGGTCACTTGGATATACGAGCCAAAGGAYGGAGAACGGCAGAACATCGCTGTGTTTCACCCCAACTTTGATCCCAGCTACCCCGACTCACCAGTGAAGGGTCGAGTCAGCTTTACACCCAGTTCTCCAAACATGAACACCCCGTCCATCCAGATCACCAATGTCCGACTGTCAGACGAGGGAAAGTACATCTGTGAATACGCAACCTACCCGAGTGGCAATGAGCAGGGCATCACTCAGCTGATCATGTTGGGTAAGTCACTAACTTAATCTGCTGTTTTTAAATAAAAAAAATGTAATTAAAAACTAGAGAAAATGCTTGCTTTGGTACTTGCCGATATTGAGTAGAACCTAAACATTAATGACTTTAAAACATATTTCTTTTATTTAGAACAAGGTAAAATCCTAAAACCCCTCTGACTGGATCAAACCAAATACACAGTTGGGTACACACTGTAACAACAAAATTAAAATTAAATTAAAATAAATAAAAATAAAGATTTTCTTTGAACTTGTATAAATTCTTAAACATGGAACTGACAAACTTCACTTCAACTGTAAACTCTAACACACTAAATGAAGCATCCATATGGTACTGGTATCGGTCCTGATTATTGGGACATTTTTATGAGTACAAGTACTTGTAAACCTGCCGATATCGGGTACACAATTAACATAAATTATGCTTCTCTTGTCTTTTTAATCTCAGTTTTGGACATTTTTATTAACCTATTTTTGTTGTAACACATTCAATAGACTTTTGATAGCAATACGCCAGAACTCCAATATCAGTCCCAAATATTGGGATATTTTGTACGAGTACTTTAAAAAATGCTGGTATCTGGCCTGATACTGATAACTGTATTGATATTGGGATACCTCTAGAAATACCATTTTCTGTGAAAATGGAGTGTGAATGCTGAGTTTTGAACTAAACCTTTTGAAGGAGCTGAAAGTGAATGAAGGATAACAGAAGCCGAAAACTACCTAAAAACAACAGTAGTGCATTAGTAGCTAAATAAAACGAAAGGCTAGCTAAAAGCTAAAGCAGTGGTAGCCAAAAGTAGCTTGAGCATCCAAAGAACAAAAGTTAAAGCACCGATCTCCTGAATGAGCTGAAATCTTGGTGAACGCCTCAAGCTGCAGAATGTATTCAAAATTAATTAGTTGCAAAGAGCACTAAATATACAAAAGAAGAATAACTGTGTGAAGGGCTAAATTAGGATAAACAATTACTGTAGAGATTATAGTCACTGAGTTCAGCAAAAATGTTTATTTATATATTGTTTTTCCTTTTTCAGTCAAAAGCACGGGGTAATAAACCACATCTCTAACAACCACTGAGATAACTGGGTGAAAATGTATGAACAAACTGGAACTTTCCATTTATAACCCTCAGTTTAAACTAATGTATGAAATGGTAATACAATTCCTGGAGGTTTTGCAAGTAAACAAATACTAGGAACTACTTCCAGTTCTGATCTGTCATTTGCGTAAAGTTTGTTCACCAGCTGAGCCTCTTTTAGATGAAAAAACAGAAGATTTACTGATATTTAACACCAGACTGAGATTATTCCTTTGGGAGACAGAAGGATTATTCCAGCTTCAAGCTTTCAGTTTCTCTTTGAGCTCATCACTGAGGGAAGGTAAGCTTGTCACATTTCAAAGTAAAACCAAATACTTTCATGTGAAACTYGCTCTCAGTGCTTTTTATGGTGTTTCCTTAAACACACGAGTGTTAGATAATACTGCTACGTGTCATGATGATCAACCTGGAAAACAAATCTTTCYGAGTGAATCTTTGTTTTTCTAACGTATTAAACTTATTTCTGTAATGACTTATGTAGAGTTACACCTTTTTAAGGATGAAACCAAAATATATACAATAAAATATTTTCTATCCAACAAGGACATAAAACAGCTGAATTACATTTTAAAATGAGCACAATTTGGCCCAATATCGTCCGGTTCATTTAATAATCTTTTAATAACTTTGATGAAGGTTCAGGTTAAATGCTTAAAACTCCCTGAATGAATTCATATCACCCTCCCCTTTCATGTCACAGTTTTTAGTTAAGATGATTTTGTTTTTTATTGTTTAAAAAATAAATTGGAGTTTTGACCATTTATGTCAAAACTTCAAAATAACGTCACAATCTCATTCAATATTACAAGATGATGTGTCAACCTATTAGAGCTCAGAAAGCTGTTTTAGTGTTTTCTGTGGTTAATTAGCTGTAGCAGCTCTTTAGAATTGTTGTAATGGCAGAAATTAATTGGTTGTGGATATACATCAAATTATTGCTTTTTGAGTGTTTCATTAGCATCTGTTCAGTGGCTCATGAGAGATTTTGCTAACAGACAAATGAACCCACACACACTCGGAGGCAATAACATGATTTTCTGCCTTTCACAGCGGTAGGCAATACTAGTCAATSTCCATTGCGTTAGTGCTTTCAATCAAAGCTTGCAGAGAAATTAGTCACTAATACTGAAAGGTTAATTTAGCATAAATGTCACAAATTGTCTATTTAAATAAATAAAAAAGATTAATTTATTCATTGGGATTTGTGGTTATTGTGGGCAGAAGTGGCTGAAATCTATTCTTTTTTTTCTGATTGYCTAAATCTAATCTATTGCTTTTCTTACCCTTTTCCCCCACCCACAAATCACTTTGCATTTTATTTAGCTTAAATGAATTAAGTAGGGGTTTATTTATCAATCCAAATTTTGATATTATTGATATCAAAGTCATGCAGTTTAAAGGTTGAAACTCCCACATGTCCTCCRCTACAGACGAGAAGTCCTGTTTCATCACAACCCACGATACCAACGTTTGTGTGTAATCGTCTTTGCTAGGAAGAGGCAAGATCAAATGTAAACACTGGACAAAAGAAACATAGCAGATAAAAAAAAACTACTTGGCTCTGACTGAATAACTTCAAAATTAATCTACGTAAGCTGATTTGTGTTGCATTTATATTTACTTTTGTGAACGCGCTGAGGTCATGTCGTCTTCCTGCATGCAGGTCGATTTAAGGTTGTAAAAMGTTCAAACTGGAGTCGTCTTTAACTTATGTAAATCACAACGTGAAAAAATGGATCTCAACAGAAAACTGGAATAGAACATGGCAGTGTGAGCGTTTTCATACTGAAGAGTTTTATTAAAAGATGTGCACAGATCAAAATTGACATTTTGAACAATGAGGAAATTCTTGGAAACAATGAAGCAGTCAAATGTATTTACACAACAGAATGAGTTTCTATGGCTGTTTAATCAGTACAGAACAGAATGTTCTGGTAACTTCTTTGTTTTCCTTCATGAGGATAATATTCAGTTATCACCTTTTTATCAGGCACAAAGATTTCAAGCTCAAAGATCCTGATTAACTTTTTTTTTCTTATTTACTGTTCTGTTATTTAAGCTTTATGCATCATCCACAGATTGAAAAAAATATGGGCGAATTTGGCCAACTGTCTTTATCTGTTTAATTTKCTCTTCTTGCCAAAAATGTTTGGTCATGCTCATCTATCCAGCAGAGTTTCCAGACTCTCTGAATCTGTGCCAACGCAGCTCTTTTTCCCCCCTCTTATTTTAGTCACCCATCTGGTTATAGTAAACACATTTACCTTGCAGGCAATATGTTTAAAGGTATCCACTGCAAACTGTTTTATTTTCCTTTCCAGCTCCTCTTTCCTCAAAGGTAGAAAGCAGATTAAAAGCATTTAAAGTCTGGCTTAATTGCTGCTGTAAGTGGTGTCAWAAGACCAGTTTGGTTCTTCTTAAAAATAAGGAACCATTGGCCTTGCACTCCCAGCCTCTTCTCCCTTCATCTTCCTCTTAACTCATCATGCCTGCATGCCTCCCCTCAGGCAGCGTATTGATCAGGCTGCTTGTCATGCCTGCTGTCAGTTCCTGTCTTACCTGCTCTCGACTGATCCAACATGGCTATCAGAGAGAACAAAATGAGGAAGGGAAGCTGGAGGAAGGACTRAGCAGTGATTTAGAAACAGTGGAAATGGACCAGTCAGAGTAGTCTTCTGTCAGTGGCGGCTGATGAGGTAGAGAGGAGATGGATTAAAAAATAAAGGCAGAGTGATAAAAGGTTTGGGGTTTGTGTGTGTTTTAGCTCCGGGGCTTGTAATTGTTTGTCAATGAATGCTCAGGAGAGGGAAAGATTGACTGGTCAGAGAGCAGAGAGAGTGTTGAGGGAGGGTGGGAGGACAGAGCTTGTTTGCTTTTGCCAGACTTGTGACTCAAACTGTTTGTCAATAGCAGATAATGCTGCACATTATCTTTTTCCTCAGCTGTCTTATTTTCATTTTATCTWTCTGCACGTCCCTTAATCTTCTCTCTGTCACTGTTTTTTTTCTTCTCATCTCCTTCCTCCAACTCTGCATCGTTTCATCAATCCATCCATCAGCCAAGCCAAAAAACTCAGCCACCGTTGTAACGGTGAATGCCAGCACTCAGGCTGTTGTGGTGGCTCGCTGTGTGTCTGCGAACGGTCGCCCTCCTGCCACAATCAAATGGATTACGACAGCCAACGGTGAARCAAAGGTGGTGTCCACGGCGGGGATTAACAACACGGTGACGGTTACCAGCGAATACCTCCTGGTTCCGACGTCGGCAGACAACGGGAAAGACATCAGCTGCAGTGTGGAACACAGGACTCAGGTCAATCCAGAGAGCATACCGTTGAAGCTAGCTGTTCTGTGTAAGACACACACACACTCACACACAACACACCTTTCGTCATTGTCACTGGTGTTAATCACTAATGTGATAGGCATTTGACAATTTCAGAGATGAATTTCACTTTCCCCAATCTTTCCCTATTCTTTCCTCCTGTCGTTCRTTCATCATCCTCCAGTTCCCCCTGAGGTGGAGATTCATGGTTACGACAATAACTGGTATTTGGGCCGTACCAACGTTGTACTCACCTGCGAGGCTAAAGGAAACCCCATGCCAACCACTGTAGGCTGGAAAATGTGAGTATCGGCTCATTGAGTTTTTCTTGTCTTATTTGCTCKCAAGGTTTCTTTTCTCCCACTGCCCCGCTTCCCCTCTCGTTCCCCACTCCCAGGTTCCTCTTGGAGCTGTAATCAGCGCTTTTATTATTGTCAGTGCAGATTGAAGTGTCCTCTGATTATGGAGATAGTCGTGTAATTTGTCATAATGGACTCTGTAACACGATTTAACCCTTTCATAATGAGAATCAAACGACACTTGGATCAGCTGCTCTGACGTGTATTGAAATAAAAATGTTATATTTTTACTTGAAAAAAGGGTAAAGCCATAAAACTGCTAACAATAAATCAGGAAAGTTAAAAGAATGTTGGATTTATTTAACCAATTTATGTCAGCTGGTTCCACTGGTAAGTGGTACTGGAAAAAGGTGGTGGTGGTGGTGGGGGAGGGGGGTAATTGTGCTTGGACATTGCTTGTATAATGAACAGGTTTTTTGACTGGGCTCCCTTATAAATGCAAAGAWCTTTGGATTAAATGTGTGAACTATTTGTTTTTTCCTCATGAAGTTTTTCGCGTTTTAAATTCATTTTGCATAGAGAAGCATTTTTTAATAAAGATTTATTGATAGCGATGTTGAATATTGTCACAYAGCAAAAAGAACCTGTTACACTTGAAATAGTGACACCATAAAGGTGGTTTTTTTGCTTTTCAAAAGAGGCTGTAGTTTATTATATTGCAACCTGTATTTTATTTTAGTTTMCTTTTATCCGCTAAATTGTCCAAAAAAGATAGAGGTCTGAAACTGTAGTTCGGAAACAAAATATCTGTGTCTAGTCGGAGACTGTGTGTGTGGACACTGGGGGTGGGCTCAGAAATTTTCTTATAAATCCAAAGGGGGCAGGGGGGTGCAGCAGAAATAGTTTGGGAACTACTGCTTTAAACAGAGTTGATTAAATTTCTTTACATTTACWCAACTAAATTCAACACYTAATTTTTAAAGTGCATAAACAACTGTCTTCATGAGTTCTGTTAAAATTTAAATTTGTAGGGTGTCACAAGGTGGTACATTTTTAAATGAAGAAGTAAAAGTGTAATTTTAAATGATGAATGTAAAAAAATAATAGTAAAAGTTATGATTTAAAAAAACTTGGTAAAATTATAGATCCTCAAAAAATGTACTGGTACTTAAGTCCTTCGTTACTATGCGCCTCTGATATTTAAAAAGGATTGCCTCTTAAAATGTTAATGAGGTTTAGTTGAATGTGACAATGATGGTCTTTTCTGTAAATATCATCTCATTTCTTTCACAGATGTCCTCTTTATCTATTATCTAATCATCTCATATTTTTTATCTTTTTTTTCTTCTTCCTCATGACAATGTACTTGTRTTCCTGCAGGATGTCTGGGAAGGTGCCAGAGACGGTGCAGATCATGGGTAAAGAGCTGAAGATTCTGAAGATAGACGAGAACGTCAACACCACCTTCGTCTGCGAAGTCAACAACCGCATCGGAAGTGGCAAAGACCAGGTCGCAGCTTTCGTCAGAGGTGAGCGGCACGACACGAACAGGCGCACATGTTCAAGCCTGCAAATATGCAGCAGCTGCATAAACGTTTCAAGGGAGGTTTTTACTCTGACAAATAACCACAACATGTGTGCATTAGTTAGAAATAATCGGCTAAAGTGTCATCTTTATGCACTTCCCTGCAACATAATGAATTGGCATCACAGATTCCCTCGTCTGCTCCTCCTAAATTGATTACAACCAACACTTAGTGTAATTTGTACAAGTTGCAAATGTCCAAACATGCTGATAAATTATACATAGTTAATGCATCGAGAAAAATATTGAGGTTTTTGGGAGTAAAATGAAACACACACTTAGTATTCATTCATCATGAAAACTTACCCCAGGCTTGAATAAAAAAAAAAAAAACATTTATATCCTGATAACTGATGAAGTGGAACCAAGTGCTCTTTCATCACACAAAGACACACATTTCTTGGTGTTTTATGTTGTTTCTGCTTCCTCAGTGGTCCACCTGGTTCTCATATTAACATAAACACACATGCACTCGAGGCTGAGGTGTCTGGGATGTCTAGTGCAGGCTTAGTGGGCCCAGCTGCTCTCTGTCCTTGAATGTATTCGGGGATGTGAATGTCTGTCTGAGTCAGTTTGTGTTTAAGCTTTTGAGGGCATTTGGGTTCTCTCCTTTGGTTTTGTATTTTTCTTTTCTCTGCTTGCATCTAAGAGAGCATGCCACTTTTTATGTCCCTTTGCATGCTTTTAGTAAGCTGTACTAAGTTTCTATGCCTCAGCGGTGCCCAAGGTCTCTCTGTCTGTTTGTGCATCTTAAGGCAATTGTACAGTTTTTTCCTCACAAAGCATTTAATGGGTTATATTGGGCCTTTAGATATTTTTAGCCTTTCACTTTTTTTCCCTAAACTGAGGGTTACGATCACATGGGCTTGAGTGGGTTTCTCAGCGGTACACTTGAGCACTAATGATGACAGGAAAGACTACAGCAAAGCAAATTTGCTTTGTTTTTTAAAACRGAGCACTAAAAGTAAGACTTCAATCACTAGAAGTGATGTGTCTCCCCCAGTATGACACTGTTGACTTTGAAAGCGAGTGGGTTTTTATGTTTGGGTGCATTTGATTAAAATCAAACGTGTGTGTGTGTGTGTGTGTGTGTGTGTGTGTGTGTGTGTGTGTGTGTGTGTGTGTGAATGATTGCAGTCTTGTCTTTGTGAAATGCATGTATGTGTTCAGGAGCACGTTCATGTAAAGGTTTCTCAAAGCACCTAGGCTTGTCGTGATGAGCACGAAATAAAATGAGGTTGATAATTTTTATTTGCCTGCTTGTTTTTTTTTTTTTTTCATGTCTTCCACTTTTCTGCTCTTAGTGTTGGGAGGAGTGAACTCTGGCATCAGGTATTTGCCAGGTGCATGGTCTCGTAACCTCTGTAGCATGAGAGCTACATGAACAGGCATTTAGGTAGAGAAGCGTCTTCAGTTTTCTGGCACCTTCTGTCAGCTGGTGATGCCCTCAGGGCACGGTGCTGAACCTTGGGTTCGCTGATAGTTGTTTATTTAAACTACATAAATTTTGYAAACTTCATAAGCAACATTCGGGTGACTGCATGACTTCATAATGTTATGAAGCCAGAGGAAGACTCATTGACTGCTTGTATGTAAGTGGGTAGTGATGTTACAGCTTCAATACCTGATGTGTGTTTTCACAATATTCAATACCGGTCCATCTGTAACTTTACAAAAACTTCAGAAATTTTGTAAGCATCACGAGGGTGTCCACAGTTATCTTTATGAAGCCAGAGGAAGGCACACAGAATAAAGTGCGTCTGCTTGCATAGAGGAGGTGGAAAGTGATTTTTACGTCAGCAGCATAAAATCTTCGGTCCAGGTCAGTTTGTAACTTTGTAAAAATTAGCTTTTTGTAAAAATTATTGTGTATCACAATATTTTCTGGGACAATTTATCGTCTGGCAATATTTGTTACCGTGACAGGCCTGATAGCACATTCTCCTTTTTGAAGTAGAATCATACAGAATAGATGCATCTAGACTGAAAAAAAAACGGTCATTCTGCCCCACCACCACCCTCGATGTTCCTCAAGAGTTTAGATGCCCGTTTCAGCAGAGTTCATTCTAGCTTTTCACCTCATACAAAATGCATCTCCTTCCAATCTTCTGTCGCATACTTGCACTTAACCTGAAGTTATTTTTTGCTGACACAGGAATAAAACTTATCCATAATGGTGGAAGAAAGCAGTTTTTTTGCTAGCTACATCTTAAAAGCCACCCTGCTCTTAATGCCCTAATTTTTARCTGTTAGTTCCCATGCTGACTCCTTATTCTTGTTTTTAAACTTAATTTCTTAAAGTCTCCATCTTCCTTCAAGTCCCTTGGTGTTTTATGATTCCACAGCATGTGTCACCGCTCCTCCGGGGCCGCTCTGCACTGCTGCATACAGTAGTAGTGTAACCGACCCCTTGTAGCACAAAGGATGCTACCATCACCTGCTGTGTTTTACAATCAGCAAGCAAGGTAGATGCAAAGATCCAGGGAGCAGGTGGAGCAAGGACGGGGAGGCCTGCTGCTTTTTGACGACAAAGCCAGGGAGTGTGTACAAAGATAAATCCGTGCCAGCATGCAATCCTTAGTCAGAGCGGGAGAGAGCAAAGACATGAGGGATGGAGGGAGAGAGTGCGATGCTGACAGCATTTAAAACTCCCATGGGAATCTTGTGCCAGTGCATCCTATCTGCGCAGCCATTGGCCTCCGCTATCTCTCAGCATAGCGTGTGTTTCTGTCACTCTCCAAGCCTCTCAGAGCGGATCAGTCACCCTTTGCTGCTTCAGCTCTTCACTGCTTCTCCTCTCACTTCACCATTCGTTCCTCTCCTGTTCTCTTTTATCCTACATTTACCCTCCGCTTCCATTTCTACTCTACTTCTTCCCTTTTCCCCCCCACACTCTGTTCTCATTTTCTGCAAATTCTCTGGTTTCCTCCCTTGTTGAAGCCCCCCCCCCCACCTCACCACCACCCTCAACTTTCCTTGCCCACATCATCATCTCTCCAAAGTCTTTGCTCTCTTGCTGCCGACCACCTCCTCCCTCCATCCTACTCCGGTCTTACTCATTTGCAATGAAGGAGGAGGATAAGATGCAAGCTAAATCTGCCGGCAGTTACGAGGTGACTAAGACAACCAGCAAATGTCAGAGTGAAAAAAAAAATGATTGTGGAAAGCAGAGACTGAGAGGAGTGTGCACAGAAGTAGTGATGATGAGAGACAAAGATGGAAGGAGTGGATGTTGGTCAGAAAGCAGAACACTGAAGATGTGCGATGACTCCAGACGGGGATGTGATTCAGACCTGCAGACACTAATGGGAATGCGTGTAGACAAACAGGGCTAAGAGGGTCCGACAGGCGTGAAATGGTCAGCACCTGCTACATGGCAGGTCCCCAACTCCTTTCTTACCCCACAGCTGCATGACACACACAAACATGAGTCTGCTCACTAGTGTGTCTGCTTACTCGGGTGTTCCGCCCTGAGTCGTGCCCCTGCACACACGGGGCAGAGAGAGGGGTGGATGTCCTCTCTTCTCCTTGCCTCTCCTCCTCTCGTCTTCGATCCTGTTGCTTAGTCATACGCACACCTCCTCTCCTCCTTTCCTTTTATCACTCCTTCGCCATCTCTCTGGCTGGAGTTTGCTCTTTTTCTTTGCATCTTTCATCCTCTCAGCATATGCTCTTTCCTCATCCCACTTATCTTTCTCAGGTTGTCTTTCAGCCTCCGCAAGCATGATGCTGGTCTTCGTATTTGGAGAAGAAGAAAAAAATACTTTTGCACCCCAGCATCCACTCCTCATCTCACGGCCATGCTATCTTCATCTCTTTTTTTCAGCTTAACTCTTAAATAGCAGCAGTTCTTTCTTAATCACAGCTTAGTAGTCTCCATCCTTTTATTCATCCCTCTAGTCTAGGTTTCTCTCATGGGAGGGGGTTCTTGTGTGGCTAACCCAGATTCCCTCCATCTTTTTTTTCTTTCTCTTGGTCCTAAAAGGGGCAACTCAGCTGAACCTCAAAAAATAAAAAGTTAAATGCCCTGGATTGAATCCCCCATGTGGTCTCCAGCTGAACAGAAAAGAGATTTCCTTTCAATTCGATGCAATACAGCCCATTTTCTGACTCATCTAAGGAGACAGTTCAAGGGCAAGGGGCTTGGCTGTTTTCCTCCACTGGGTTTGGGTGGGTGTGCGTGTATGTGTGCACACGAGTCTGCCTGCGTCTGTCAGTGTGCGTCTCTAGCCATGCGAAAACAGCCAGAGCTCAGGTCTGATGGAGCCAAGTCTCCCTGCAGCCTCGCAACTGCACCCTCCCTCCCCTTCCTCCCCGTCCCTCATTAACGCACACACGCACCAACATTAGTGCTGCAAACACACGTGCGGGTCTGTTCAATCACTCCACATCCCGAAAGAGAATCCTGCGAAGCTCAGCTCCCCGTGCAGTCCAGCCCAGCTTCGCTGATGACCGGAGTGGTGTGGGAGCATGTGTGACTGCGACCATGCGTGTTTTTTTTATTGGGGGGGGGGGCTGCAGTGGATTTTACTTCCGCTCCATCGCTCTCATTACTTGTGGTCATTTGAAGCGTATAGTCCTCTTGAATGCGACTTCATAAGAAGCATGCAGTGTTTTGGCTTCTGCAGTATGCTGTCTGTTTTGGAGAAACTGGGAGGAATTACCTCCTGCCATTATTCATTTCTGGTTTCCTTTTTGTTTTCTCCCGTTCTKCACACAGCTTGCATGTTGCTTTCTTTCTGCTGGCTTCTCCAGCAGCATGTGTTTTATAAAATGCTCCTTCCTTACCCACTTAAAGAAGTTTCAAGGCTTCTTGGTTGGGTGTCTGAGCTTGTTCTGGGAGCTTGGCGTGACTCCCTCTTTTAATCTTTTAAGGGTTGTATAAAACATGAATTATCCACAAAAGAATTTATCAGCACAGACTTTGAGAAAGATACTTTAGAAGAGACTAGAGCTGTACATTAAAAATAATTGAATGAGTTGTACTTGAGGAAAATTTGCATTTAAATTTTAGTGCAATTCCCTTTGATGTGGTGGAAATGTGCATCAGCATCTGGCTCAAAGTTTGCACAGGGATTGTTGCCACACTCCGTGTGATGGAGCTCCACAGAGCCCGAGGTGATAATGCATTTCTCATGTTCCTGTTACAAGTGGACACTGAGTCCTTGCTCTCGCTCTCATGTCTGTGAATAGGACTGTTTAGCACAGCATACCAAGAGAGAGAGAGTCTGTGTGCTTTGGGAGAACTGAGGGAGAAAACCTACGAAAGAGGAAATAAAAATGTATCCATCATTATTAATTCTTTCCCTGGGCATATGTTCCATAAAAGGGGCAGAGAAAAGTAGCATAAGACAGAAGTACAAATGTAAATTGGAGCGGCGACAAGGAAAATGAATTTAGAGCTGCAGAGTGTGTGCAGGAGACAGCTGGTGAAGTGGAGGCAGAGATGGAGAAGTGGAGGACTGAAGAGGCAGACAGTATAGAGGAGGAAAAGAGCAGAGCTCAGGTATACACAGCAGCAGACTTCCATTTTCTCTTTGACAAGAATCAGTGTTACAAGAGTAATACTGTCAGCCTGCTGTACACCTAACAAGAAGGGCTCGCTTCTTTTAGGCTTTCAAATGGGAATGACAATACGAATTAGGCTGATTTGCTGCTTTCAGATTTTAGGCAGGGGTTTAATTCTCTGCAGCTTGTAGTGAAAAGGCAACAGAGCTGTTCTGCATTTCAAGTTCCTGATCACTTTAAACTGGGGAATACACTTAACAATCCTCACTGTGATTTGATGTTTATACTGTAAAACAAATGTTTGGATAGTTTGTGATTAACTAAATTTTAGACACAGTTTTGTATTTTATACTTTGAAATAAATGATTATAATCAATCACAGAGTCGAGTCTCTGTTTAGCGGAACGTGTGCCTCGCTCCAGCAGTATAAATGCAATGTTTAACATTTCAGGAAGGTAGAACTTGTTTTAGGGTTACTTCCTTGTTTAATRTGACATCATATTAGGGGTGTGACCAGGTTGGCCGCATCCTCCTGAGTGTGCATTTGTCAGCTGCTTGCGTCAGTGGATCTCAATCCTGCTCCTCAAGGACCCCTATCCTGCATGTTTTAGTTTTTTCCCCATGACTGGCAGGCTTCTGTTAGGCCTGCTGAAGAACAGGAAAACAACTAAAGTATGCAGGATATGGGTTCTTCAGGACTGGGATTGAGAAGCACTGGCTTACGTCACTGCCCCGCGCTGAAGGCTGTCCCAATTCGTGGACTCCTCCTCATGCAGCCCACAGAATCCTGAAAAGGACAGCTGAATCTGAGGATCCTCTCCGGCTGAAACGGTTATCTGGAGTCATCTCAGTGTTAGTAAATAAAACAGAAAAATGAAGTCAGCATAGTTTGCAAATTCATCACTAAATGAAGAAATCAGTTTTAAATGTAAGTTTAGCAGTTGAAATTTATGCTGCAATGAAATGCTAAAAAAATGCAATTACAAGTACTGATACTGGAGCCAAACCCAAATTATTTAGGTATTTATWTTTTTACATGTAACGTTCTTAATTGTAAAGTTATTCCTCCACGTCCCAAAACATTTTAAGGGAAGGCACGGGATATAAAACCAATCACTGTGGTAACGGTGTAGTGCGTTGTCACGCAAATATGTCATCTGAAGACTAGACGTCTCATTTCACAGCCGGTTTATGCAGCCTACGCAGACTGCTGTGGTCTACGTAGACTGCACCCCCTGAACTGAGAGACAACCTTTGTGAAAACCCATGATTGGTGGCCATTTTGCTTAGATTTCCAGAGCCACAGGTGGGCTTGGATTGAAATGGTGTCTTTAGATTTGAAAATAAAAATTTAAATTAGAATTTAATAGGTTTTCTGCACATAATCCGGGCTTCTAATCCGAACAATTACTTTACACGGTCAAATCTGAGGTGATCTTGAATAGTTTAGAGTGGAATGATAAGGGTCTCGGCCTTGTTTGCTTGTAAGTTTAATGTGTAAGCTCCATGCTTTTAGCTCAAAAATCACGTGTAGGGGGCTTCCAGTGACAGATTATTTCTGAGAGCAAAGGCAGGGTAAATGGAAAACGTTCTGACCAGCCAACGCGGAAAGGCTTTCTGATGTAATACAAACAAACAGAGTCAGGAGACAAACAGATTTTGAGAAAAGCGGCAACATAGAAGCTCTGATCAGCGGGACCAGTATGTATAAGACTGTATGATGAGGAAGATGAAAGGAGAAATTCTRCAACGCAGGAACGTTCATAAACAAAGCTTGTAGAACAAAAAACAAGCGTTATATACGGAAAACGTTTTTGACGATTGAAGTCAGTAAATGCAGGTTTTCTTCTGTTCAGTGTGAGTGCACCAATAAACAACTCCTGGACCATGACTTCTGGTTTTTCTTTCCTCTTAAAGAATTTCAACGTCGTATTGGAACTTTGCTGAATAACATGATGTTCTGCAACATTGTGCTTTGTTGAAAGATCAACATGAAAGCCTTTCAAGTGCAATAAAAGAATCTTGCATGATAACCCAAATGCTTTGAATCCTTTTAAAAGTGGGAATGATATACACAGAATCAATTTTCTTTTAAAAAGTAGGCTTACTCTAGAAATCCCCAAAGATTATACGTTTCAGTAGAAACGACTTATGCAATAAAATCTAAGCAATCTTTTATATACTGTATATATATATTTTTTCTTTTTTCCATCCTTTCTGTTGAAGTTAACCTATTTGATATATAGTSTATGTATTTCCARGCTGTGTAACTAGAGCCATTTAGAGGGTGTTTTTCTTACACTACAACTGCAAACATTAATTCTGTCAGTGGTCCTGCCAAACGTCCAGCCCAYTCTGTAATAGATGGTGACCGCAGCAAGGAAAACAGTCACAGCTTCAGTTTATAGGGAGTTGTCAGAATCCTCGAAAYGCCTTGAAGTCATGACCTTAACAAAAGCCTTCACAAAGCAGAAATAATCCTGTTTCTTGCAGCTTTACAAAGAGTATCTTTATGAAGCTGACAAGAACTCAAAGCTTGCACTTTATTGCATTTTACTGATTTATATTTTACTTAATTTAAATTATATGTTCTAGTCTTAACTGTAGCATTTAAATGTGTTTTTTTGGAAAGTATGATTCTATTTAAAAAAATTCAGAAATAAAAATGGTAATTTCTTCATGCTAGGCATGGTAACATTTCTAAACACGGGGTGGAAAACACAAGAAATACTTTGTCAGTCTTAATTAGCTGTTTCCTTGTCTGTAGAAGCAAAACGTATCTATTGCAGTTTGAAGACTTTAAGAGTTGAGCGGAGATAAAATGCAGCACTAATATCACTGAATAAGAGGATCAAGGGAGTGGAAAGAGTTGTACTGCAAACAAGTCATGTGGGACTTTTTCGCAGCCCTGATTTAGACTCAACTTCATCCCATGAGTTGTTTTTTTTTTTCAAACACAGTTACACTGTGTGATGGTGGAGTCCTAGTTTAACAGCTCAGTTTGTACTCTAACAAAGCCTTTAAATGAACTGAATGTGCATGTATGTATGTGGAGCAAGGCAGCTGGGAGTAAAGTCAAAATAAATGGACCAATGTATGGTGAATGCCACCAGAAGAGGGTGGGTGTCCACTTTGTCACCACTCCCCTCCTCCAGGAAGAGATGTGTCTTTGTTGCTCAGTCTGCCAGCTCCTCCTCCTCCTCCTTCACCTTTTCATCCAATTCCACCTTCCTCCATTTTATGGCTCTCGTCTGCATGGCCTCCACTTGTTTTTGCGCCTGACCTGCCTCTCTTTGCCTCGATCGAACCTTTGTGCATGTTTGTGTGGCTTGAACCCCCGCCCCCGCCCTGCGTTGTGATTTGTGTTGATCCTTGAACGGAGCCTGGCTGTTGAAAGGCAGCCAGGTGGGGGAGTGTAGCCGTGACTGTGGTAAACGGGGACAGGAGCAGCCTACAGGGAGAAGTGGAAGTGTCAGTGTAGGAGGAAGCTCAACACACACATGAACACCTCAAAACTCTCTTACACACTTTGACTGAATGAAGTTAACACCAGCATCACTGACCTCTTCCAACCGCTACGTTTTTTTTCTTTTCATTTTCTCACTGCTCTTTTTCTACTGTCCCTTTTTGGTGTCTTATGTTTCTCTCAACAATTTCTTTTCCTTCCATTTTCTCCCTCCCTGCCTCTCTTCCCTCCCACAGAGCCTTCTCCAGACCCCTCCAATGCCGGCGTGGTGGCAGTGGTTGTTTCATGCTCCCTGCTGCTCATCCTTTTGGTGGCCGYCCTCATGGCTGTGTTCATCACCCTTAGGCGCAGGCAGCAGCAGGGTTACCGGGCCAACAGCAGCAGCGACATGAAGACGCGCATTTTTGGCGGCGGCAAGAAAGCGAGCAAGAACGGAACGGGCGGAGGAGCGGGGAGCGGAGGCGTCTCGGGTGGCAACAACAACGGCCCCATCTACATTTACAACGAGAGCTCGACCCACCAGGGCATCGGAGAGAAAAACAACCACCACCAGCCGCTCACCATGGGGGGCCAACCTGAGCATGGTGCCAAAACACCCACCGCCCAAGACATCCTGCTGAGCAACGAATTGGACGAAGCGGAGAGGAGGAAGTTTGACGAGATGGAGGAGGAGGAGAGGTATGACCACTTCTCTGGGGGGAGCTCGATCCTTCAGCTACGCCCACCTCACGACCAGGACGATATGATTGGAGATTACCTGGATGATGACATGGAGTCCCAGCGGGACGGATCAGTCATCTCGCGAACTGCCGTCTACGTATAAAGGAGGAGGAGAAGGAAAAAAAATAACAAGGCTTGAGGATTTGGCATCTTTAAGGAATCGGGAAAATAAAGAAATACCACTTTTTATTTTTGCAAATTGATTTTAAATATACCCCATTATGAATCACGTCCGCCCTATGGTGAACTTGACTGGCAGAAGGCATGTGGAATAATTTAAAAGAAGCAGCGTCGGGTCCTAAAGAACTGAAACTCAAACGGAGAAAAGAACAACCTTTCTCTCACTGCTTCTGCTCATGCTCTCTCCATTTCCGGGACTTTGACTTTAACAGACTGAAGGAGAAAATCTTGATATAATCACAATACAAGCTCTTATACAGACATCTCACTTGCATATTCACTCTTAGCTTCACTTAAAAACAACAACAAAAGGCTCGTCTTGCAGTTACATGTTGCCTCCACGTCTCCGTCCTCTTGTGGGAAGCTTTTGTTTYGGTAATGTGTTGTGCTGTGACATCTGCTGTGTTGCTGTGGCTTTAAAATACAGACATCAAGTGTGTTTGGAAAAGTGAGCAATGTATTTCCTTATGTTCACTCTGCTCTCTCTGCCTTATTTGAAAACGTGATAAAAAAATCTCTGCACCATATCAACAGAGACTTTAGAATTGAACAGAGTTGAAACTAAAGATTTAATTCAATTTTTTTTGGTTTGTTTCACAAATACAAAGCGGACAAATAGAATAAAGTTTGCAGAGAGTTGGAAACCGCTTCCTTTAAGATGTGAACTTTTATTTTTGTGCCTGCGGGTTAGAGAGTGTAAACAAGCGATTGAGGAATGAGGTGTAGCTGATCTGACAGGGTCAAGGGATGAAGAGAAAGATGCAGGAGGTGCTGGGGATGAGCACGTCTCTTCCTCTCACTTCCTCCTGGTCCTCATCTCACCGGAGCGCTCCTGACAGGAGGAGCTTGATTGGTAATGAGCCGTGAAGTTGCTCGCTTAGCTGGGACCAACAGATTGCCACCACTTATCGTTTATGACGTCCCCACCCAACACACACACACACACACACACACACACACACACACACACACACACACACATACATTTCCATCTTGCCGTCCCCACAACCCCCCTTCTTTGCCTCTCTCTCCAAGCCTTTATGGGAAGTTTTGATTTATCCGGGGCAGAGTCGAGGTCAGGGCCAACCAAGAGCAGGGCAGTATTTTACTCTGGACGATGCGTCAAATGCCCCGCTTACTTGACTCCAGCCTGCCCTGATATATCGGGACAAAGTAATCCACCTGGAGTGGTGGAGTTGACTTCACTGCTTCCCCGCCACCCACCCCCTTGAGACCCCCACCTTCTCCCTCACTTTAGAAAATGGCCGGATGTAACAGAAGCTCACCTCCATAGTGCAGTGGTGTTAGGGAAGACAGATTTTCAATGAGGATCATATATTTCCTTCCATTAGCAGATGTTGGATGTAGTGAATTGATTAGAAGACATAAAAAGGTTGGATATTGACTAACGGGGCAACATGTGGTGAAATGGCTCTTTATGATGCAGGTTCAGGGCTTATTGTCTTCTGACTGTTAATTCATCCTTTTAACGAGCCACCGGAGCTTGGTTCTTTAGCAAAAATTAAAAATAAAAGGAAAAAAGCGACTTTGTGGCTTCAGCACACTGCTGTGTTTGAGTTTGTGTGCACGTTTAAGTACCTGGATGATTATGGAGAGAAACTCTTATCATCACGCTTTTTCCAGCCTCCTAATCGACTCCCCTATGACCCCGCCATAGGGGAATCACCCGAGCATGGTCTTGACCAGCAAAGATCTGGACAGACGTTTGCTGCAGGTCATGAAGTCGAAACCAAGTTGGCTCCTCACCAAGGGCRAAGATGATTATGCTCGCATGCATTTCTTATCAGGACTTTTTAACCTTGACCTATCGATGTAAGAGGATACACTCCTCYTATTCGTGTTTTGCCATTGTGCCGGCTGTTAACCTTCATACAGGCAGAGAGGAAGAGCAGGGAAAACRCAGGAGGCAAACGACTAAAATAGAGTCAGCATTTAGTGTTTGAGCTCCGCCTGGCAGGTTGTAAGCCGGCGCGTTCAATAGGATTATCATCTAATGGCCTTAGTTTGTACATAAATGCAAGTCCTGTCAACCTGGGGTAAAGTAAATGTACTGAACACAGCTGATTTGTCACAACCACTCAATATAAAAATGTATTACTTATTTTTGCACTTGTTTGTCAAAGCTTCGAGGAAAAATACGAGTGAAACACTTTGGTTTCTTAGTGGAATAAAATGTGGGCGTGGGACAAACACACGTATGTACGTTTTGGTGTGAGGTATCTGTGTATTATATATGTAATCATCTATATTTTTCTTGTGCAAATGTGGATATTTGTGAAAATGTAAATATCAGATCGATGGARCCGGTGTTGCTAGGAGGAGGAGGGCGTTCTTGGGTTAGCCTGAAGTTCAAATGTCACAAAGGGCATTCAGAATGTACTTTTTACCCTCAGTAGTTTGAACTTACAACATGAACTGAACTGAGCTTAGTTAGATTTCAGTCCAAAAGTTGATTTACATTGAGGAAAAACAAACATTTTTTTTTAAATTGACTGCATTTTCGTACAAGCACACGTTTATTCATAGGCAAGTTTTAGTTTTTAACCCCCCCCCCCTTTTTTTTTACAGATACTGTGCACAGGGCAAAAAATACAGTTTTATTCAGTGCACCACACAAGCAAGGGTCTGTGGCATCAGAGTCAGCGCTCCGTGTTCAATAAGTTATAGTCTGCGTGTATTTTGGTGACGCTCTCGGGCTTTGACATTTTTCTCTGCCATATGGGGGCTGTAACCCGAGTAGCCGCTCTCTGTCATCGTTAAAAAGTGTCAAACTGCAGATATTATTGTGCATTTGAAAGACGCACTCACTCGCACACACGTACTGTAACGTATACATTCGGAGAGAGTGCAGAGAAACATTCGCCCACACACAAACACCCCTCAGTCGCTCTCATTATGCTCACTCCCACAGCCAAACTGTGCAGCAGACACCTCATACCTGACAACTCTGCCATCTTCTGACATAAGCCCACACAAAAGTGCTCGCATAGCTGCACAGACTCAAAAAAAAAAAAAAATAGAGAAACTAATACAAAAACACTTTTTTTCTCCACCTTTGCTTGCTCAGTGGCTGTGTCAGATATAGTGTCCTGTCATTATGAAACCCGCTCCTAAATCGGTGGCCATGTAGAACCAAGACAACTGCTCATTCAGAGGTGCACACACCTTTCAGTCGGTGTCAGAGAAGCTTGCCTTTTCGTTTTTCTTCAACAAAAGCATTTATCCATCCCACTTTTGTTCTCCGCGGAAATATAGCTTTCACGAAAACGCCACCGTGCTGACCTCCTCCTCGTCCCAGATGCTTTCAGGAAAGGCGCTCATCCCAGCGACTCGTTGTTTTCGACTTCTCRGCCACCTCCGCTGTGGCGACCACCTCCACAGACACATGCCTTCAAAGTGAGGCTTGTCAGACAAAAAAAAAAAAACCTTTTTAGAGAACCCTGTAATTCTGGCCCTGAGTCTAGCACAAAGGTTATGTAGTCAAAACATAAAATACTTTTTTCTTTTTCTTCAGAAAGCCACATGCTCTCGCTGTTTGTTTGGCTCCAGACATCTGATGACAAATCAAAGCCTTAACATCCTCCATCTCACTCACATACCAGGAAAAAATGAAGACCTTCCTGTGTAGATAGTATAAATATATAAATATGTAGCAGAGAAGAAAAAAAATACTAATTTATGGTGTCACGTTTGTGTATTACTCCGTGACAACAAGCATGAAGGATTTATTTTCCTCTATTATAGTCACTCAACTCTTCTGTTATTTTGCAGTGCTTTATAATTTGTTTTTTGAGTGCTTTATTCTTGACTGCTGCGCTGTGATTGCTGCCAAAACTGGCAAATTTGCGTCTTCTGTACAAGTGAACTGTATACACACACACACACACATACACTACAAAACAGTCTTAACCCAAAATGTGCTTTTAGTATTGCTCTGTGTACAAAAATTGTTTTGTATTTTTTAATTTTGATTTTATTTCGGTCTTAAAGAAAAATGAAGTAGAATTGTTGTCACGATTTTGTCATGTCTTTCTATATTTTTTTTCATATTTCGTTGATTATTAAAAACTTCTTGATTTTTGAAATGTTGCTGTGTTTTCCTCTTTTTTTTTCTTTTTTTCTTGTGCGTCTCTAACATTTGAGGTTATCAGGGTGACGAAGGAGCCACTCATTGATTCTCCTTGATTAGATTTATAGATTAATTGATTGGGATATAAAATGACCTCTCTGTCTCTTGTCAGCTAAACTTTTTAGACTTTTGTTTTGTTTTTAACTCATTTCCTGTTCTGGCAGTTTATCTAGTTTCACATTTTGATAAATCTGTGTGAGTCAGAGGGGTGATAACAGGCTTCTGGGACAAACTGAGCTCGGGARTTTGAGAAGCCATTTTGTAGAATAAGTGTGTCCTGTTCACCTCATTCCAGCCTCTCTCTGCACATCTGCCCTGGTTGGTGGAAGCAAACAACGAACCTGAACGTGCCTTTTTGATGTTAAAATCTGAAGATGCTGTGATTGGTTCAAAGGGTGCAAATTTCTATCGTTTTTCACCTAAATGTGGATGTTTAAGGCCACCGGTACTTTGGCTGTCTGAACTTAGCAAATCCTTTTTATTTTTTTATTTTTTATTTTTTCAAATCCAACCCAGGCCTTTTGCAGAATGTGGTGCTGAATCTGATACATGCCTGATATTTTTCAGAGCAACCTCAGTATCAGCTTGTGTTGCATTTCATCAGATTTTTTTTTACATCCATGAGGTGTGGCTGAGCGGATCGATCAAGTATTTAGAACATTAATGCCAACGTTGTTAAATTTTAATCCTGTAACTCCACGTCTTCAGCTACAGAACAGAGGTCCACTTGCTTTGTCTTTGTTTTTATTTTTAATTTTTTTCCATCTCAATGACCAAGAATCCTCGTGACTGATAGTAACATTACTATATTGATACTTTAGTTTTAGCACATTACTCTCATTCCAAAAATAAAGTGCAGCACCGGAGCATCCGGTCAGAGGCAGGCTCAGATATCAACACTGAATTGTCATTTAACCAGCTGTGGTTTCACAACAACTTCAGAATCGACATGCTAACAAGTAGCATCCATGTTAAYGCCTGTAAACACAAAGCTGAATGTGACGTCACGCCATGATCACATCWGTGTTGTAAAATTCACACTGGAGTCAGGTGGAGGTCACTTTTAAAATATAAGGTAAACGTTCACGGCAAATAATAGGATGTTTTTCAAAACGTGAATCGAGTATTAAGTCCTGGAGTGTGAACGTAGCCTTAGAAGTGCTGAAAACACACATGCGTGCTTATTTCAAGATCTCTGCCTTGATTTAGCTTGTGAGCAAGGYGCAGTCAGGAGGGGGCAGACTGAGCTGAACCTTCACGAATGGGTCACCTCACAAAGGATGCATTGTTTGAACTTTGACTAAACCAAACTAGTTTGGTCAAATTTTAACAGAAAGGGTTTCTGGGTGTGTTTGTTTAACAGTGCTGGAATGTGATGAGTGTTTTYATGCATTCATGTACACCTGCTTCAGTTTGGCTTAAAAAAAACAACCACTCGACAAGCATGACASTTGGTTTGTGGCAGTTATAGCAGCACGTCTTCGATATTTGCTCGGTGCTTTGATGCCGTCTTGTATCTCTGTGTCATCCTGGCTCCCTGTCACAGTTCATTTTTTGTTGCAAGCTTCTTCTGTCAATGCGGCTATTTACTGTGAGTCCAGCCCACCATCTGGCCACTCTAATTGCTTTGGATTTGAAGCTGGTGAGATAGAGAGGACTTACACACAGAAATGAACTCTGACTCGTTTGGTTTTTGTAGTTTAATGTTAAAAAAAAGTCAAGTGCAACAGCAAAGCTTTTAAGCCGCAGCTTGTTGTAAAAGCCTGCGCAGCACTTAGCTTTTTGTCTCTTTCCTGCTGAAAAGGTACAACGCATCATGTGAAAGCTGTGACCGCATAGTGCCAAACCTGTTTTATCTGAGCTCGGGGCATTTAACCTGAATCTGAAGCCAAACTGACAGCATCTACACCGYGATCAGCATTAGCTTACAGTGATGAGACGTGGTGGGGTGCCCCAAAGCCATCTGGCCTGCTGGTCCCAGATCATACTGAGGTGTGTGAAGGTCTGCACATAGACACAATAGACGGTAGGGAGCTCTTTGCTCCATCAGAGCGGTGATGTCGGGGTCAAACGCCTTACCGGGCCTTCAGATGGGATGTTCGTCTGTTAAAGTGATGGTTCAGATCTTTTGAAAGTTGTGGGAAAATGAACAGGAAACCTCTTACTTGATGTAGAGAGTCAGATTATTTCTTCAAAMTGAGTTTGTTTAAAGAGCTATCTGCAACAGGTAAGATATTAACTATTAATAACCTTAACACATCATTTCTGATTATCTAAACCACAGATCTTCAACAAAGGGGTCACGACCCATAGTGAGGTCGCAGGAGTACAGCAGGGGGGTCGCAAAAAATATACTGTGTGTATATAT